GGTTCTTGAACTAATAGCAAACTGCTGCTCTCAGCGAGGAGGTTTGGGTCGTACTGGCATCCATTTTAGCAGGCTGAGGGCCGGTGTCACACTGTCGTTACTATTTGGCACACTACAGTGGTGTGCCTGATAGGAATACGTTGTGTGACGAAGCTCACTAAAACAAAATCGAAAACTTACCTCACAGTTATGTGTTGACTCTTCCTTATTCATTCGTATTCATGTCAAGCTCTATGATATGACAAATACTGGTGATCTATCAGCGCGGAATCTCAATCGGCTCGCGTATCGATGGGACCGTGTGAGCTGTTCAGCTGGTATAAAGTGCTATGATTGAGAGGCGAATCTGTCCAAGTGGGCCGCAAAACACATGGGCTACTCAGGAACTACCACAGGCAATCCAGCATGCACATAGAAGCGCACATCATTAACAAAAATCAGGGAGCAAAGAAGGTGAGGACGAAGGGGTGGCAGAATTTGGTCAAAGACAGCTCCCGCGATAAAAGTGTCAAGGATAATTGCTGAGCAATTATGAAACAGTAGCTGATAAGTGATTCCTCAATGACGGAAAAAAGAAACAAGAGCCCTCAAGAACACCATAAACAAAATCGCGCCCTGACGTCACACCTCCCTGCGGTCTCTGTGCAAGCCCTGGCTCACAGATCACTTTGTCACGTCTCCCAGTAGTGGATACCATCGAATGCGAAGAAAAGAAAACAAAAAACACGAAACATTGAGGAAAAACTCTTGAAAAGAAAAGGAAACATTTAAAAAGCCGGCGTCCGAACTTAGGGTTACGGTAGCGAGCATGTTTTAGTGTAGTGAAGTGCGTCGAGCTTTTGCACCACAGAAATTGCATCATTCATGATTTTTACGCGTTACCTTACGAGATGGGTTGCTGTTGACTGTATGTGCTCCCAATGAATAAAATGTGATGAAGGAGAGTATTTACGAGCACGAGCCCTTGCAAAAAATACATGCGATTCCGATTAACGACTGCCGTCCCAACAAGGAACAACTGAGCGACTCTCCGTCAGAGGGCAGCTAGCTAGTGAGGCGGTCCAACTGAGCAGGCGTTAGAACTAGAACATTGGCGGTTCTAGCTTGCCTCGCTCGCTGAAGAGTCGCGAGAGTGAGACAGTATCTAGCTTGGGGGCTGAACTACCTGCCCAAGGAAGGACGACCATGTACTACTTGAGCGCGGGGGCTGTCTTTAAACATTCGCATCCATGACGTCGGATTCCATATAAGAGGAAACGAAAACGCGTTCAAGTCATGCAGCGGGAATCCCAATGCGCTAGTTATTCTCGCCGAAGTGGGATCGTTCTAAGCCAACGGCCATCTGTGGAGGAATAATTGCAACGAACCTCTTTTCTTAACATCAGGCATATGAAAGGGGAAAACAAGAAAAAAACTGCGAAATGGCTAGCACTAGTAGTAAAAATTTTGTCCAGACCGTTAAGCTGCTTTGTAAGGCGTGTCGGTGAGGTGCAATCTAATGGTGCTCTATATAATGATGCGCTTTACCAGCCCTCTAGCAGTGCTTCAGTTGCTATGGTCTATTCTTTTCGCAGCCAATTATGTCAAGGGAACATTGTTTTCACGCACCTTGCACATTTCCATGTTGACTTCTGCTGCGGGTGCCGAATCTTTCTCTTTTTCTGGACAGGGTGCAGCCGTGAACTACCGAAACTAGGCCTCTTTTTGAATCGATTGCGATTGTGCACGCAGCTGCTCATGCAAACAAGGGCTGACATGTGCGAGCAAATATTCTCCTTATCAACATTTCGTCGTTACTATAGACAGACCCGCGCCAAGCGAGTCTTGGCCGGGCTCCCTTATGCGGATGGTCTTGTCACAATCTCTAATTATCACCTTCACAACTTTACAGCTAGTGAGGACGGTGTCAAAACTTCTGGTTGTGAGAGCAGCTCAACTGGACCGTTCACCCATGATTGTCCCCTTCACAGTAAACGCTGGGGTGCTTGGTTGTTTAGTGGAGCGGTGGACATTAATTAGAAGTACGTGTCCATTTTTGCTGACCGCGCTCGGGCTCATAACTTAGCTCCCTCTATCACATTTTTCCATTAGGAGCACATGGAGTCAAAAACAATCTAAATTGCAATGTAGGATGTGGGTGCAGTAGTTTCAAATAGTGTTTCTCAAGTTCCGGTATTGCACAGGCACATGATGATGACTACAGGGGGGGGGGAGACAAATAAAAGGTAAGTTACACCTTGTTAAATTCTGATTAGGCATTTTCACCACCATATTCAACAGCATATTGTATACTATCGATACTCCGCCGCAGCTTTCTGGACGAGCGTCATCGAGAGATTCTGCCGTGATTCGGTACCTGAGTTCAGCGGGATCGTTGATTTCTCCGCCACTGTAGACCTCCGCCCAAACCGAGATTTGAGGCACTTTAGGTCAGGTGCCACACTTAGATATTCCGTTTTCTTCAGGTACTCAACGCCTTTCTGTTCCAAGTACGAGAGATTTTCCAACGCCCTCCCATCCCGCGTGTAGGCACCCAGTCCTGTAGCAGTACGAAGTTTCCAAGAAGGTACACGCGATGACATCAAGGCAGGATGATCGATGGTCGATGTAACCGTCCGCGTTCACTTTCAGTCCGTGGTCCACGAAAATAATATCGGTCTTCACATTCCAGGAACTACCGGTTCATACCACCAACCCGCGCCCTGACGACTGCGGCAAAGATGATATCCTGGACCGCAGCGACGTCGTCGGAGCTGCTCGATGTCGCAGGTCTCTCAGATCAAAAGTACTGGTCTCCAGGTAACTATCCATGGGTGACTACATACAAGAGGTTTCGCAGCTGTCCCATGTGCAAGTGACGTTGATTCCTTCTCCAGTCAGACTGCAACTGGAGGTGACTTCATATTTTGGTGTAAGAGGATATGGGAGAGAACCTGCTCCTGCTTATCGAGGAACATCTTGAGTATCTTCCGCCCTGGTACTCGTATCCACGTCCTTTGTCTAGGCTGCGGAAACTATGTGATATGTGACTCGGCCGAAGTGTCTTTTTTTGCCCCCCCCCCTGTATATTCTACAAGAGTGCCACGCTTCTGAATAGTGTTTTTCATTATTTCTTCCTACTTTTAGAAAGTATTTAGCTCCGGGTGACACCAAGAAACGACTTTTCACGAGCAAGCAGATCCAGGGAACTCGCAGTGAGGCTACAGGAATTTTTACAGAGAGTATTCTCGATTTTTTTGCTCTTTTCTTCCCTTGAGAGCGACTTAGCGACTAGGGATTACTGATTAAAGGTAACTTCCGACAATATGCATTCAGAGGATTGTCTTCAAAAAACTTTGACGTGGGCCTGCTCTTCTTCGCATTATCACGCGAGTCGCACAGCAAGATAACCCCCTTTTCGGAGATGCTCTTAATACTCCTTAATCAGCATTATTCCTTGTGTATGACTGGCAACTGAACGTTTTCGTGAGTGGCTCTGTAGTTGCGAAGCGTAAGAAATTTGTTGCCAACAAGTGTATGATCAAAGCTGTTCCAGTAAAGCGTGGTCTAGAATTTATTGCTCGCTGGTAACAACGGTTTTTCAGTACCCTGCAACTCCGGAAGCAAAAAGGGGTTGGGGGGGGGTATCTGTATTTATGACAAGTAGCGTACACTCTTTATTTCGAGCTTTGCATTCGAACTACCGGGAACTTAACTTGCTATGAGGATATGCTCCCACTAGTTCAGTGTAGGGTTATGAGCAGCTTGCCATATTTTACTCAAAGAGGTCCACTTGCAAGCGACTCCTGATCGTTTTATAGATTCTTTCGAACCTGCTTTTTGCCCCCTACCATGACCGCAGCTTGCCATTGTACTGTGTCACAATGCGTCCAAATAGGGGAATATTTACTGGAATTTATGGGGTTTGAGCTTCATGAGCTTAGCTGTGTCGAAAATAAAAGAGTCGTATGAAAATAATGCGTACTTTTTTCGGAAAACACTGCGCACATTTTATGACGATCAACTTTGATCCACTCAGAGGTTGGAAGTAAAAGACTACGTTATCGTTCCCGAAGCCGGATTTTGCACGAGTTCTGTCTTCGTTGTGATCGTGCCTGTAAAAGCAGATGATGACGTTCGGAGAGACGAATGGCGAGCAACGTATGCCCGTTCCGACCTTAAGCGACAGGTATGAACTGAAAAAGATCAATGGCTCTCTCAGTGATATCGAGGTTTCAATGTCATTCACTTGGAAATTATTGAATAAAATTTCCTCTTGCATTTCTGAGATCAAATACGTTTAATTCGCTTATGGTAGTGCATGATATCGTCTGGAACCCGGAGCTTTAGCTTCAGTTGACGGCTACTATTATTATTAATCGGAGTTTTCCTTGGGCCTCTTCATAGTAGTTAACGAATCTCATAGGTTTTTTAAGATATCACGTAAATCAGCTCCAATTTTTGTGCTCAAACTTGAAGTGCTTTCTGCATATTTTTTCGTGAGGCTGCTGTTTGATTTTCCATTATTTTAAAGCGCATGCTTTCAAAAGCTCGATCGACTTTAAGGCATTCTCTCCACTTTTCAAGATGATCAAAACTAAGGTGAACAGTCGAGAAGCAGGCACTATTTTCCTATTTTCCTTGGCAAAGTTGCGAAAACGGTTTGGGATACTAGCGATGAGTTCGGCCGTGGAACCTCGGACAAGGATGCAACACAGTAGCGTTTAAGAAAATTCGTAGCTGCTACGAGAGCCTTGAAAATAATGATAGTGTTGGGCTGTGTGCAGTGAACAACTGAGAGTATCGAGACCAACTTAGTCGAAAAGAATCCGCGCGCAGCATTGAAGGACGTGACTTCGATATTGAGTGTGCCATGAATAAGAGTTCGTGTCTTCATCCAGAAAGTTGGAGAGTCGAAGATGCTTGTTAGACAAGTGCCACGCGCATCGAGCTAAAGGCCGTCGTTTCAAGATTTTCTCCGCCTTGCCGTGGCACAACAGAAGCGATCCAGTTTCAATGTTATGTATTGCAATGAATGGTTTGTGTACGACGATTGGCGACGATGTGGTCTGTGCTTGAACAAGAATCAAGCTTCTCAACAAGCAAAACCACCACGGGCTAGGGTGTGGTGAAGCTTAATCAGAATCGATGGTTCCCTGGGCCTTATTGTGTTTAATCTTGCTGTAATCACAGGAACGGCGAAGCTCTTCTCTTCGTTAAATGTTTATCATATGACAACGTTTCAGGCATAAGCCCTTCGTCAGGTCACTCGATCCTAAATCAAACAGCATATACCCTCACAATGTTACAGCACTAATACAGTGAAAAGAGCAACAACCCACACTAGGTAGAATAGGAAAGGAGAACAGGGCTCCGTCAGGCCTCCTACGTAGCAGTAGGACAGAAATAAAAGTGGAAAGATTGGGATCATTTACAAGGGTGATCTAGCATTCGTCACGTATGTCTCCATTGTGCACGTCTTATACTGATAACAAACTCATTGCCACTTTCATCTCCTCCTTGCTGTTGATTGGTGGTCCTTGTTGCTTTATTTCCAGTGCCTCCCTGATCTTTCTTTCAAGTGGATCTACCACATTTCTGTGTACGATGGAGATGCGAAGTTCCGGCGGTCTTTCTTGTGCGTGCGTTAGTGTGCGGTGTCTCGAGAATGACTTTTCCGGGTAGCTCTGTGGGCTCGCAAAGCTCTTAGATGTTCCTCCATTCTCTTGTAAAGTGGCCTCGATGTTTCCCCTATGTAAAACTCGTGACATGAGAGGCACACCATCTTATACATCACACACTTTTCCTGACACACCTTATGTTCTCCACAGAGCACACAGTTAGCTCCTTCACATCGACCCTCGTATGGTCGCGAAGATGTTAAAAGTCGTCGTAAGTTAAGAGGTGATCGGAATACCAGGCTTACAGGGAGCCGTGATCGTCTTACGACGCCATTAACATCAATAGCGAACGAGTCGCTGATGAAAGGTAACACGAGTGGAGTGCCATAAGGTGATCTGAAAGGCCTCCAGCATCGGAGCTGCCGTTTTTCATATCCGTTTTGCCGCAAGATGTTCTTCACTTCTGTCTCCATTTGTTCGTGATTCGTGGAGGTCAGCTCGTGTGATGTCGTAACCATGTGGTATACTACGTTCACTTTCATGTAAAGAGGATGGCAACTTCTCGCGTGAATGAGGATGTTCTGGGATGCCAACTTCTACCACATGGTGCTGATCTGACCGTCCGAGATCTAAATGGGAGAAAACCGTCTGGGGGAGGGCGTCGGCTGTCAATTTAATTGATTGACACATCCCGTTCAGCTTTCCAAATGTCCGTCGTAGTGCAGTCCCTGATTTTCCGACAATAAAAATGTCGTCGATGTATCGTCCGAAGTACAGAACTCCAGAGCGAGTCCTCTCGTCTGCTTGTAGTAGATATTCCTGAAGCGAAATATGTTTACCCTAACCACATTCCGAAGGAGCTCCTAACATATTTCGCTTCAGGAATATCTATTACAAGCAGACGAGGGGACTCGCTATGGGAAGCCGATTGGCACCATTGCTTGCTATCGTATTTATGGATAGCCTAGAAAGAGCAGCCTTAGCGTCTGGAGTTCTGTACTTCCTACGATACATCGACGACATTTTTATTGCCGAAATCAGGGACTGCAGTACGACGGACATTTGGAAAGCTGAACGGGATGTGTCAATCAATAAAGTTGACAGCCGAGCGCCCTCCCCCAGACGGTTTTCTCCCATTTCTGAAAACCAAAGTGAAGATCTCGGACGGTCAGATCAGCACCATGTGGTATAAGAAGTTGGCATCCCAGAACATCCTCACTTTCACCGCGAAAAGATGCCATCCTTTTTACATGAAAGTGAATGTAGTGTACCACATGGTTACGACATCACACGAGCTGACCTCCACGAATCACGAACAAATGGAGACAGAAGCGAAGAACATCTTGCGGCGAAACGGATATGAAAAACGGCAGCTCCGATGCTGGAGGCCTTCAGGTCACCTTATGGCACTCCACTCGTGTTACCTTTAATCAGCGACTCGTTCGCTATTGATGTTAATCGCGTCGTAAGACGATCACGGCTTCCTGTGAGCCTGGTATTCCGACCATCTCTTAACTTACGACGACTTTTAACCTCTTCGCGACCATACGAAAGTCGATGTGAAAGAGCCAACTGTGTGCTCTGTGGAGAACATAAGGTGTGTCAGGAAAAGTGCGTGGTGTATAAGGTGGTGTGGCCTCATGTCACGAGTTTTACATAGGAGAAACATCGAGGCCACTTCATAAGAGAATGGAGGAACATCTAAGAGCTTTGCGGAGCCCACAGAGCTAACCGGAAAACTCATTTGCGGAGCCCACAGAGCTACCCGGAAAACTCATTCTCGAGACACGCACAAGAAAGACCGCCGGAACTTCGCATCTCCATTGTACACAGAAATGTGGTAGATCCAGTTGAAAGAAAGATCAGGGAGGCACTGGAAATAAAGCAACAAGGACCACCAACAGCAAGGAGGAGATGAAAGTGGCAATGAGTTTGTTATCAGTATAAGACGTGCACAATGCAGACATACGTGACGAATGCTAGATCACCCTTGTCCGCATCCTTATGAATGATCCCAATCCTTCCACTGTTATTCTGTCCTACTGTTACGCAGTGAGGTCTGACGGAGCCCTGTTCTCCTTCCCTCTTCCACCTAGTGTGGGTTGCTGCGCGAGCTTCGCCGTTCCTGTGATTACAGCAAGGTATGGTGAAGGTTTAGATTCGCAGCTGGGCTTATTTGCCACTACTTCGTGAATCACGAAAAAGCCATCAAAGTCGAGAAGTTGAGAGAGTGACAAAGTGCAAGATGAATTTTAGCTCATGAACTCGCCTTTTGCATAACTTACCGTAGAGAAGTTGAAGAAGCTGAGCTGCGAATGAGCTCTCTCACGAATCTTATCCGTAGGTTCAGCGTGGCTTGGTCGCTACTTCATATGCCAGTAGTAACAGTTATGTTATAAGCCTCACTTCCTTGGTTCTGAGAGAATCACTGACAGCTCAGTGTCGGTTGCGACCGCTTGAAAATTCTGCAATGCTCTCAGGTGCAGTGGAAGGACAAGCTGCCCAGGAATAAGATGACGATCTGGAACTTCAACGCAGAGACCTTGCAACGGGAGCCCACATTGCGAACCTGTTGATGCAGGCAAGGAAGAGCAGTTGCGATGTCATCGGAAACTGAGACGAGAAGACATCGAACGCTACGAAACTGGAGAACGCTCGCAGTCGTCCCAAAAGCCTTACTGTGCGCAGAACAGGGAGATCTGGCAAACAAGTCCTGAATGAGACGACCACATCATCTTTAATCAGCGTTTTTGCTTACCGGCGTCGCTTAAGGTCTACTCGAGATCGGAGCATATTCTCTTCGCGCAGGAGTTCACTTTCCAATGGGAAGAAAGAGAGAGAGGGAGAGAGCTGCAGAGTCAAAGAAGCGACGTCCCGAGACTGTCATCAATTGGGATCATTTCTTTTACATGGATCGAGAAGCATTTCTTGATCGGCCACATTAACCAGGAACATGAACTGTTGTTGAGCGTCTTCACGACTGCACCAGGAAGTCAGCGAGCCAAGGGTATGAAGAAGCGTCTCTTTCTGGAAACTGTGAAACTGGTTCTCCAAGTGGAGCACAGGCCGCAAACAGCTGTCAACTAGCAATTTGGATCTAGTCTTTTTGACAGTCATTTCCACCTGCCACAATGCTGCCTGCGGCGATATGTGTACCACGTTTCCTCAGTTGTCCCTTCTAAAGCCCGACACGCCATTAGTCGGCGACGAATCGTACTGCACCCGGTCCGAACCGAACGGAGTCCAAACTCTTGAAAATCATCCGCCAGTTCCCGTCGGGACTCTAGACCGACCTTTCACGTGCTGTCCGTCTAAAGGCGATGAAGTACCTCATGAAAAACAGCATGGCTGTGTCGCTGTACAAAGAAGAAGACTTGCGTTGGCATTTATCGCCCAACCTGAGCACATCTAAGTCTAATATACCTTCACAAGAGACCCTTAAACTGGCCGAACCTAGGTGAAGGTCAGCCATGCGAACAAGCAGAGTTTGAAAATGATTCAGGACCCGTCACATTCACACTGTAACAAAGTTTGTTGAAGTGTCGTCGCACTACAAATACCATCAAGCCTCAAGTTATCAACTTGATGTAGGCACTCAACTCCACTGAGAGTCGAAACCCCGGGCAAACTCTACTGGGAGTCGAAACCCTGGGCATTAATTCCACTGGTTGTCGAAACCCTGAGCAAGAACAGTTCTCCAAACCAGTACATAACGACCCCCTCGGTAACGAAAAACACACTGCTCCGTGCCCAGCTTTGATTTCGCGCCCCTTCCTGCCCGAGTTTGCGCCGGACTTGGACACGGAAGCAGAAAGAACACCTGATCAGTGTTGCTGGCTTGTGTGTCTAGCCTGCATGCATGGGTACGCAAGAGCCACGCTAAGAAATCCGGGCGTTTGGATGCCCGACAAATCCATGCGGGAGAGAAGGAGTGCGTGTACACAATTTCCCTGCTGGCACATAGCGCAGACCGACTGTGGCCTGAACTTCTCGCTTACCTCTATGTCGCGTGCATATGCGATGCGGTCGCGTATTGATTGACTGTCACAAGGGCGCGGAATATCGATTGCCTGAGGAGCAGGGGATGCGACGAGAGAAGTGATCGATTGCGGAAGCGGTAAGAAATAATGATTGAACCAGAATATGGGTGTTGAATGCTGGTATGTACGGCCCATCACTGCTCATCGCAGTAACTCCAAAAAAAGAGATGTGTCGCTTCTGCTTGTTCTTATAACAAGTAAAGACAAGTCAGCTGAACGGTAGTTGCTGCGGTATGCTCAGGGATTGATTCGCCAGGTACGCGCCAAATCCAAGAGCACTTCGTGCCTTTGTTGCCCCCTATGTCGCAACAAAACGAAAACAAAGGTTGTAACAACGATCCCCAGTCGCGTTCATAGTATAGGTTTGTCACTGTACTTCAACTTCCATGAGGTTTGTTTGTAAAACAGCACATACATAGTCGATGACTCACAAAAAGAAAGCAAGAGTACTGTCTGTGAGTGTGATCAGGAAATTCTCAGGATTTCAGCTTCACTCTGGAGGAATCGCCCCGTTGTTACTCACACAGAAAGGCAGCAAGCGTGAACCAACCGCGTTCTTTTTAGCACGAGTACGGCGTGCTGTTTGCTGTGGGACTTCCGCGCTCTCGAAGAGTTCAACGGAAACTGCTTCTTGAGAGTCAGCTGTACGGAGACATCATTCAAGCGGATTTTGAGGATGTGTATTTCAACCTCACAACCAAGGTGCGTAGGAGTTCTCGCCTTCTGTAGTAGCCCATCATAATGATACGTCCACCTGAACAATTTTACAACAACTCTAATTACGAAATGTTTTTGAGAAGCTCCGAGGGGAAAGCTCCGAGGGGTGAATTCAATACAAACGCAAGTTCGAAAGTAAACACAAACTTCAAGGTAGAGAACAGATTTCTTTCAAATTCTTTCGAGAATGTTCACTTTGCCGCTTTGCCTCACCAGGGATGGACGCCAGGTCGAGGTGGCCATTTGTGATCAGACGCAGATCACGGAGCTTCTTTATCTTTTTTGTTCAGAACGATTCTTTGAACGAGTTATTGAGGTACAATTTAACGAAGGGTGGAGCTATGAAGGTTTTAATGAAGGGACACTGAGTCAATTGCGGCTGCCAGTCAGTTCGCAAGATAACCGCGAATCACATTCTGTAGTACTTACTCTCTAATGAAGTTATCGTAAGTTTTGAGTTTTTATAGTTCTTTCAACCTCATTTTTTTCACATTCATCCTTCGCAAAGCGAATATGCTCACAGATATGCATCCGGACACTGAATCACTGCTCTCCACCCTCTGCCCATCCCACTTTTACGTCTTTTCCCGGAATTTGACCTTTTCTTTGGAACTATCGCCTTTTTAAGCCGTAGCGGGTGGCTCTGCCTACTTTAGGATGCCCTACCCAATTCACAGAAATTCCGCTCATTTTCAGAAATCGATCCACTTCAGTAGACCGTAGACCGAACCAGAAACCAGCAAAGTTTGTTCCCATTCGGGGGAGACATAACCTACCAGTTCGGAGCGATGATTCTGTGAAGAAGGTGGGGCTTCTTAAAGTGGGCAGAGTTACAACTTACCTCCTGAAAAGGCGAACTTTTTGAAGGAAAATGCACAAAGACGTAAAAGTGAACGTGGTCAGAAGGAGGAGGAGGGGGGGGGGTAGGGTGCCAGTGAAAGACGCTATCTTTGAGCACAGTCGTTTTGTAAAGGATGATTGTGAAAAAATGAGGTCAAAAAAGGTTTACAATTCCAAAACTCACGATAATTTCATCAAAAACTTCATTGAGAAGTGCCAAAGTCGTAATCTTGCGGCACCAATGCTTTCCACTTGAAATGTGTGTGCGAAGTAGAAAAGTGCAAAAAGTCGGAGAAATAGTTCGTAAAATTGTTTTGGTAGACCGCTGAGAAGTGATCGGGGGGTTGGGGCGGGGTTGAAGCAGTATCCTGTGTGGTCTGGTTATCAACTGTCCGGTACAAGGGGTGTCTCCGATTTGATTCGAAACGTGCTCGATTCAGAATGAAAATGGTAGACAGTAAGTTGGTGGAATATCCTTGGAATAACTTCCCAGGTACTCAGTGCGCTTCGGCTGGTATTTTGTTACTGTCCACAAACGAAGGCTATTATAAAGATCGACGATGACGCTGCCTGGAATATTGTACGTACAAAGCATCTCGTGCAACGTCATTTGGATCATAATGAAATTTATGGACAAATGTAAGTACCGCTGCCTCACTGCTGAGAATGGGATGATAATGCTTTTTATTTCAGCGAAGCTCACCCAAAGCCACATACAGCAGGACCATGGTGAGCTGCCCTTAACATGTATTGCATGCTATGTATTGTCGCTAAGTTATTGACTTTGTTACTTGTTACTTGCGCATGTTTGAGACCATCGAAAGCTATGTAGTGTACAGACTGTTGCTCTCAGTGTTGATTGTTGTTTCACCGCAGTCCAAGAATGATTAGACCCGCATAGCATGATTTTATGATCTCAAGAGCACTGTTCCATTCACAATTGTGTCTGTTCGGTCACATTTTTGCTCCCACTTGAGAATTATCCAGTATGTGTTTTTCCAGGGTTGTTACAAAAGAAGAGTGGGGCCGAAATGACTATCCGCCATTTTGTCGAGGAATGGCTTACGTGATCCCACGACGAGCAGCAGAGAAAATGCTGTCCGTTGTCCCCTTACAACAATTTCTTAAGGTATCTCTCTTCATTACTTAGTAAAGCGAATCCATACATCCGAATTGAATTCACCACTGGAACATTGATTTTTTGAGTCCATCAAAAATCTTAGTTCTGTGTAACGCACCTGCAGAGCCTTTGTACTATAATCAGCTGTGAACGAAGAAAAGAAGGAAACAACTGCAGTTGCTTGACGGAGCAGGACAAATCATGGCAGGAAAATAGCTGTATTAATTTAGAAGCAACATATAGTTGAAGGCGAAGCTTGCGATCAATGGCCGTCAGAGATAGTGGATTATTAGTGTGCAAATAGACAACAAGGTTCTGAGCAATTCGATCGTGGGTAATTTGACCCTGAACAAAAAAAAGCAGAAAGAAAACATGCGTACTGCTCCAGGTAGCACTGCATTTCGACCCTGTTTGTACGTGCCCAATTAGCTCCATCTCCAACATCACGCCCTCATCCGCACAGCTCATTCAGCGAATGAGCGCCCATCCCTCACCATTTTTTGCCGCGAAATTGGAAGTGAATTGCTTGTTGCGGAGCACATTGCTCTCCCAACGCCATGTTTTCAATTTCTATACCTGATCGCGGACCGTGCCTTTGAACTGCCGACAAAGTGCTCTTTTCACAATTTCTGCCATTTTCGTGACGCTATATAGAGATCTTTTGATCAAGTGTTTCTTGGGGACTAAAGCAACGTCGAACGTTCAGTTGTGTTGTCAGGCATAGAATGCAAGTTAGAGTGATGCAGCAACTTTGTCGACTATGCTTCCAATGATCACCAAACTCAAGCGGGTGACAGAAAGTTACTCAATCGTCCGAGCAACCTGTTAGAGTTGCCGAGCAAGTTCCAGGCATCTGTTCGATGGTCATTCGATGTTTTGTGGAATCCCATCGGTAACCGCTCTGGTGCAGCAGTAGTCCTCAAATAAAGCGACATGTCTCGTGCACTCACTTCTCCAGGATTTTCTTCATCACTTGCCTGCAGCGTGGCCTCGATTGCCCTTTCGATGACAAGGGGCCTGAAGCCGATCCCATATTCCCCTTGCGTGCCTTAAGCTTCCCACCATAGCTAAAGTATAAGCTAAGTGGGAAGAGACCGAAAAGGTGACACGGAGACACGCGTCCCGCTCTTTATGCCCTCGATTTTCTAGAATGCTTGGATAAGCTGGACCTCGCTGCACATTCTGATGTTACGCCATTCAATATTTTCCGATCTGGATATGCACAGCTAAAACACTCGAAGGTGTTTTATGCAACGAACGGGAAAGAAACAAGGAAACAGTTCTTTTTTTCTCACAAATCAGCAAATATTTGGTCTCCTGCTGGATAATCTCAGGAGAAACGATGTCAATGAAAAACTCCGCTGTACTTTTCTCCGCTATAACGGTGAAAGTTTTGAAGTGAGGAGCAGAGTTTGAGATGATCCCGATTATGTGCGTTGTATGGCTTACAGCTTCTAGCTCGGTGGAATCGAAACCTTTGCCGAATTCGATGAATGCGAATTATAGCGGTGTCTCGTAGGTAGCTGGAATCCTCTAATAAGTCGTGGACGACCTGCTTCATTGCTGTTCGGACTGCAGTGACTATTCCGCCTGGACACTGGCTGCCGATCATCCTTATTTAATACTTAAAGACGTTTTCACAGATGTTCATCTGCCCGTATTGGTCCTCCCTCGGAATATCGGTTTACGGCCTATCTGCATATCTTTCAAGCTAACACGCGAGCTGGTAAGTGCCTGGAGCTCATCAAATGTGGTTGTCCTGGAGTCGCTTTCCCGAACACTGCCTATCTTACCTCATATGCTTGTCTTCTCAAAAGCAAGCATCTTGTCCTAGAAAACCTGAAAGGTCGACGATTTGAATTTGTGTTTAACTTCAGAGCAGCAGCGACGGGGTCGTCACAACAATGACTTGAAGATGATGTTGGTATCAGCTACAGGCTCCCAAATTTAGCACTGCGGATACATGAAAACCTTGGAAAGTTTTTTTCCGGTGTAGAGTTTCCAAGATTCCATGTTGCACGAGTCCTCACAGCTCCACTGCTCTCCGCTTGCCGTCATTTTTAGGATAGAAATGAGCCATATATTTCCGGTAGACAACACACGATTGAGCTTATCAGATTGAACACAGCTACAAACTCTTCGTCATCGGTCTCCACGTCACTTACCAAAACTTGTCCAAAAGACTTCATCATTTTCCCACTTGAGACTGCCACCAAATTGACAGTACAACGAGCACGCCGTCGCTGCGAGAATCACAACGGGAGTTGGTCGTATTTGACAGCAAAGGAGAGGGGAGGCTCGTAGGTGAATGGCTCATTTAGAAGAGGGGGAGAGGTAATAGTGAGAAGTCGTAGAGATCCATCCATGGTTATAGCTGTGAAGAACGCCTGAAGAGACATCCAAAGACAGAAGCAATTTTCAAGCTCAGAAATGGGGAATGGGTGGTGATAAGTAGCACGTTGGGCGCCTACAAAGGCGTCATGGTTAATAAGTAAACAAATCACGCGGTATACGCCTGCACCTTTCTGAACTGTGCGAGCACATCTACTTTCACGGAGAAGTCTTGGCTGGGAATAACTTTCCTCAATTCTTCAAACGAACTGAGAATGGTACTGAGCCAGAGATACGAATCTTTCGCGTCTTCCCAAATCTGTTACATCAAATTCACAACGAGTAATTCTTTAATTACTGGGCATGTGAAAAATGAGATGCTGTTCAAAAAAGAAAATCTTCTAGTTCTGGCATTGTTTTTGATTTCTTAGGAGATCGCATGTGAAGAAAATTATGGCTGTTCAAACATGAAAATTCGTCCCAAAAACTACAATAAAATGTCACAACAAAGTCACCGCTGGGAAAGTTCCTTAGAAGGAGCAGCTTGAATGGACTCAAGCATTGTATGTGAGCTGTAAACCTTGAACTTTACAACCTTGCTTTCCTCCCTCCAAAAACTCCCTTCAAGGAAGTTATGAATATTTGAACAAAAGGGCGCTTCCTGTAGTTTCTCTAATACGTTGCACCACACGTTGCGACATAGCTCGCCTTAGTACAACAGTGAAAAGTGTTTTGAACCTCGCGCGCAATCTCTAACTGTGCGGGTACAATTTGAATTCAAGTCTCCTTTCATCTTTTTTCTTGAGGAGGAGGGGTCCCCGCTTTCGGAGGTGGTCGTATTCAGCAGAAAATCGTCACAACGCGATGCCGTGTCTTGCTTAAGGGTCTTCATAGACACATATTGGGGGCGTTTCAGGTGTTACCGGAATCGAACGCTATATGCAGATAAAGAAATATGGTGTCATCTACCACCAAAGCATTCATTGAGGCACGGCTCCGCAACCATTCATTGAAGCACGGCTCAGCAGCAAGCATAACATAATAAAAAAAGGATCTTTGAATATCGGAAGAGCTCTTTCCACGGTTTCCGATCCATATCGGTGCAAAGTTTCCCCACCGTTTGATTTCAAACTTCTTGAGTCACCCCAAGCTATAATCTCCTATTTCTCGATAAATTAAGACTTGATGAATCCCGTTCCAGCTCGAAGATGTGTTCATCACAGGAGTTCTCACGGAAGCAGCGAACATAACCGTATCTCACCTAGGAGGAGACCGTATTACAGTTGATGAGAGAAATCCTGGAATTCACAAGAAAGTGGACTTCGTTTTTTTCAAGATAAATAAAAAGCACCAATTGTTTTGGTTTTGGAAAGTTAACATTGATATGTCATGAAGAAAATGTGCCACTACAGATCCGAAGTTCAACCACGCACGTTTGCACATTTCATTCCATCTAGACATCTCTTTATCGTTCCTTGCGGTTTTCACGAGCATTTTCTCCTTTTAGACCTGTTTTTTGCGTTTTAACTTCATGCGCCTTTCCTTTTATTTTCATGTGCCACAACTTCGCAGAAATTCATCAAAGTTCTGTATTGGTTGCTCGGTCAGAAAGGTTACCCTTTACTGCATAAATTCACCTCCCTCAACAAACGTCTACAGAAACAGATGCAATTTAGGCGGGTATCCGTCAGCATTGGTTTTACGTGATTTCATTTTTTTTGCAGAGAGGACTATCCAAACGCATTGACAGCAAGTGCCATAGAATTTCATAGCGGATGCCCGTTTCTGCTGGTAAATTTCGTCCAGGTTTCCTATTGTTAGGGACATTGGCCTCGGTTGGGATACTGTTGTCGAATCTTTTCGACGTGCCGGGCAATAATGCAAAGTAACACGTAGAGAGGTGATGACTTCTGATGGAACTGGCTATTTAGGAGAAGTGAAGTCTTGGCTGCCCTGCTTCCCCATCGCACTGTCACACAGCATGTCCCAACACCGAGCTGTTTCCTTCAGTTATCTACATTACATAGGGTTGAAATTCTCCAACAATTCTTGTCCACTTTTTTTATTCCCAGATGCTACGTCTTTGCATGAAACGTCAAGATTTGGTGTCGCCAATTATCCCTCTCTGCAGTGGTCCTAGAATAGTAGTGATAATGTGGTAATCTCAGAGAAACAGCTTGGTGAAAAAATATTCACTTCGTCGATTCGACGATGACATAAAAAAGCATGATCATCTCTACTGTATTTTATCTAAACTACCATTACTACACTCACCAGCTACCAAATCTGATTTATTCGAATTTTCCGAGATGTTTCCGAAAGCAGCATGTTCCGGATAAATTCCGTCTATCCCCAAATGACAGAGTCTGGAAAATAAAGTATCATTCAGTGCGTAGATCATTGGCAATCACTTGACAGCGCACCGTCTCTCTCGCACTTCAGAAAAGGCGTGTGGTGTGAATCTGAGTAAACCAACCCACAATGAGTTTCTTGAGCTGTCAAGGAGTTCTTGGCAGACTTCTAGGCCTAGCTGCAGTTGGCTTTGTCTTTACCTACGAGTCTACAGGGGGGGAGGGCAATAAAGAAATCACTTCAATCGAGTCACATATCAGCAAAGTTTTCGCAACCCACACAAGTACCAAAGCGGAAGATACCCAAGGTGTTCCTCGATAAGCAGGAGCTGGCTTTTGTCCATCACC